CATCTGTATGTTGGTTTGTTCTCTCCCACAGTAGGTTGTTGCTCATCTTTCACTATTATCATTTAATCATCGTACAAAAAATGGTAATAACAACTGGTTTGCAAACTGATCAGTGTATTAAAACTTAAGTTACTTGATGTTTGATTCTAAAATACAAATTAATATCACTTATCTTTTTAATAAATATACTTTTCTTGTCATATCTCAACTAGGTTCTGTTGGGAGATATCAACTCACTGATGACATTGATGAATGGTTGCTCAACTTCGTGGATTGGTTGAAGTTAGACACTAACACCATTGGATACCGGATCAGTGGTCTATCGGTTAAGTGCTCGCGCGCGAGACTGATAGGTCCTGAGTTTGAATCTCGCAAGGCGGGATCGTGGATGCGCACTGCCATTGAGGAGTCCCATAATAGGACGAAACGGCCGTCCAGTGCTTCCAGGTATTCCATGGTGGTCTAGCTTCAATTGACTCATGATCTCAACTGTATAAAATTACTAAAATCTCCACCAAACCCCTTCTGTTGTCTCAATGAGTCTGATGTTTCGTCACTTAATGTAAACCACTTCTTCAGAGTAACTAAGTCTATCAATTACTACCTTGTTAGTGATACTTATAAACTCAATTGTCTTTTTTAGTTTATAAAAGGCTTACACATTCTAAATCAGTAATAAAATTCTGATATTAAATATCTGAGGGAACTTTTATTTAATTCAGCAAACTATAAATATATTTTAAGGTAAGAAAATACACATTAAAAATGTTAGAACACACACATGATCTTAGCTCAGAGAGCTGAGAAGCGAAACTAATTAGTGTTAAAGGTTGTTGCTGAACCGGATGAAAGACTCAGTAGACGCCCAACTTCGAGATCAACAGGCTGGACTCCGTAAGGATATGTCGTGCACAGACCAAAGTGCGACACCACGAGTCATCTTTGAACAATCAGTTTAGTGGAATTAGTCACTATACACCAACTTCATTGACTATGAGAAGGCGTTTGACAGTGCGGACCGGAGAACATTATAGAAATTTCTTCGACACTATGGAATTCCTCAGAAGATTGTCATTATTATCCAGAAATCATAAGACGGACTACAGTGCAGAGTCGGGCATGGAGGACAGATGACAGATGCATTTCCAGTATGGACAAGAGTCAGACAAAGCTCTTTACTCTTTCCCTTATTCTTTCTTCTGATTATGAAAACCTTGACATCTGAGGGGAAGCACAGAATACAATGTACATCTTAAAATCAATCAGACGATTAGGACTTAGCATATGACCTAGCTCTCCTATCTCATACACACGAACAAATACAGATGAATTTTTATATGGCTAAGGCTTCAACAAACCTTAATATACGTTCTTTTAAACTTTTGTATATCATCAAGAAAGCCCAGTTAAGACCAATCTTATAGTCTGTTTCGATTATGTGTTTGACAATAGAGGATGATGAATGTTTATCCACTACTCTTATTAGGTCAGTTGATTTTATTTGTTTCTGCAACTATTTAGGTAGATGCCCACATACCGTAATTATGAAATCATGATTATTACTCTTTATGTATGTGTTACCAGACACACTTACATTTAAATTGATAAACACAATCGGATGTGACACAATCATTTTCATGTGTTTTAAGTTTTCGACTAAGCATGAACCGATCTTTAATGTTGGAAGATTTCTGAATCGCATCTATTCCACTTCTAAATTGTATGTTGATATAGACATGATTTTCTTTGTGCCAAGGTTACAGTTAGTCTTACTATACCATGAACTTTCTATTTTATTACACTATTGTAATACAAAATTATTCACTCATGTTAAGAAAAATCTAACACATAAAAGAAATGATTACCATGACAATGTTGTTATCTTTCTTTTTTTTTAATTTACAAAAATAAACCAACTTTCAAAAAGAAAGAGAAAAAAGAGAGAAAAAGGAAAAAGAAAAGAATGAACAAATTAGGAAGACTTGAATAAATAGATTTTACAATATAAATAAAGATGGATAGTGGCTAGTGATGGAATCCAGTTTAATGTTCGTTTCGTCCTATTTGGGGCTCGTCAGCTGGATGTACCTGCATCTTACAGTTGATGTTCACGCCGGGACTCGAACCCAGTATCTTTCGCTTCAAACGCCATCGAGTTATCCACTCAGCTACTGAGTCCTGATAACCACTTGCTTGAGCAAGCGGCTTATGAATTAAGGCAATACGCACAGTATGCACATATATACCAATTAGAGACTGACCAGTTGCAGTCCCAAGCATCAATGGGAAAATTCAAACAAACTATACTAAATGAATTCAGGTTTTACATTGTTCCAATATATATTTTATTGAAATAAAAAAATTACCATCAAGAGATTGTACGCCATTTTCGTAGGTACAGAGATTTAATCACCACCACCACAACAACAACAACAACAAAATGCAACTTTATAAATTAATATAACCGCATAAAAGTACATCATTTATATGTACATATACCTATATGTTTATAACTGATTAGTTTTTGATGGAAATGAACACGAGTGAGGACAATCGAATGTATGTAACACAGAAATTACAAACTATCTGACAACCATACAGTAAATAGTTAATTTGCAAACTATCAATGAATTGTCTCAATCTCGACTGTGCTTTCTGCAAATATCAGTCCATCGTCTCTGATTTCATTGTTCATGCATATTCATATAAATCTCATTATGTTTCCGCTCTTCCGTTATCGATTTCCTACTGAAATGTATTCAATGCCCGACCATTATTATATACTACTTATATGGATATAAGTAACTCATTCTTCCTTTATCCATATTCTGCTGAAATGCATTCTATGCCTGACCATCATCGTATACTACTTATATGGATATAAGTAACCCACACCAGAGTAGTAGTAGTTGTTGTAGTAAACGAATTATCTCTTAAAACTTATTATAGAATCAAACACTGAACAATGTTTGACATTTAACACTACAAAGTTCAAATGACTAAACTATATCATACACCGTTAGCAGAAATGGATAATGGCTAGCAGTTGAATCCAGGACGCGCGTTTCGTCCTATTTGGGACTTGTCAGCTGGATTTACCTGCATCTCAGAGTTGATGTTCACTCTGGGACTCAAACAAACAATACTAAGTTGAATTTATATCATACACCGTTCAAGATGAAAATGTAAATCGACAATTACAAAAAAAAAAACATGAGGTTTTATATATATATATCGTCTTTTTACTGTTTCTATGCTTAAATGAATTACCTATTACAATTGATTGATCACTGGGTGTTGATCAATGTTATGCGTGTCAAGACCTTCTTAGTGCTGATCGAATGCTACCTATTTCAATGTGTATTGCGCTAAAAACAAAAATGATATGCTTTCAAATAATTTTTTATCAATGATTATGCATTTGGCATGAATCTTTTGCTTTACATTATTAAATGTTCTATCACAAATGTTCAGTTAATGCACTCGTTTATTATCTAAACATTGACTTGTTTATTTTTATCAAGCTGATCTTGTTTGTTATGCATTTTGTAATCATCATTCTTACTACCAAGTATATGCCAGAATAGATATTCAGAATTTTCAATGGGATAACTTTGATGATATTACAGAATAAACAAATTAATTTACTTACTTGTTTACGCATTTTACCCTTCGTGGAGGAGCATAGACTATCCATCAGGATTCTCTGACCAACATTGTCCTGGATAATTCATTCCAGTTGATTATATTCAAAACAGTAGATAATGGTATATTAGATTCTAATTATCTATACAAATCAAAGTCAAAGAAACCTAAAACAAACTTTGATGACAACTCTTGAATACCTATGTAATGTAGTACAGTTCTTTTACAACATTATACGAGGTTATAATAACAATATGTAAACTGTTTACATTTTAAAAAAGAAAGTGTTAAAACTTGTATATATAGTTGAAATCATGAGTCAATTGAAGCTAGACCACCATGGAAAACCTCGAAGCACTCAATGGTCATTTCGTCCTATTGTGAGACTCCTCGTGTTGATTTAAAAGCTTTATTTCAATTCACCTAAAACTAGATATTTCTCTATGAATGCTTTATTATTTACAATGATATAATAATACTTCTCGATCTATGTGTAAACAATCAGAAATCACCTGTTCATTTGCACTCGTCACTCATCAATCATCATTGAACAGAATGTTACTTATCATTAGTGATTTGCTTTGAAATGAATCCATAAGCTTTTATTAAGAAATCAAGCCTGATGAAGTTTAACTACATTAGGAGTGATATAATGTCATCACTGATGACAATGCAGTTTTGCTCGGACTACATTCCAAACTAAATGATATTGAATTTCATACATAATGATTTTAAGACAATTAGCTTTCTGTTGTAACCTTTAGGATCCTATGTTCACTCCTTGAAATAGTCTTAGATATATGTATTTGAAAAGTTTAATACTAATCAAAAACATTTCACTAATACACCCTAGTTTTCAATAGTAATTCAAATAACACTAATATATTAATATAACTAATTTCTTCTCGTCCACGAAGGGTAACAGGCGTAAGTAAGTAAGTAAGTAAGTAATTTTTGTGCATATGGAATTAAAACTGTTATCAAGCTTTCAGTGTAAGCAAAAATACTTTGTATCTGATGGACATTACTGACTTGCTCAGTTTCGTGGATTAGTTGAAGTTAGACATTAACACCGTTGGATATCGACTCAGTGGTCTAAGGGATTAGGCGTTTGCACGTGAGATCGAAGGTTCTGGTATTGAATCACGCATGTAGGATCGTAGACTCGAACTGTTGAGGATTTCCGTCTTGAGACTAAACGGTCGTCCAATGCTTCTAGTCTTTCCATAGTGGTCTGGTTTTAATTGACTCATGAATTTAGCTACTATATGGATTGAATATAAAATACTAGATTCATGCATAATCTTTTAACCAATAAAAAAACAACTTTTTTTCTTTAATCCAACTTGTTCTAGTTGCATTTCCCAATATCGTGGAGTAAGATGCGACCTTTTTACAACAGAAAAAGAAGAAGACCATTTGGAACAATTGCCAATTAATGAATCAAAATTTTATTCATGCGAATCAGGTAAGTTATGATAATTAATATTTTGTCTTAGTGATAAAATTTTGTTTGATCAGTAGTCGAAAGCATTAGGTTACTTCTTAGCATTAGATACTGAATGACTCAATCCACTATGCCGTAATCAAATGAATACTTTGATATGAATGCGGTTGGAACAGTAGACCCAGATTTTGTGCCAGGTAGAATATGTAATTAATGCATATCTGGAGTCTTTAGTGAATTACTATCGGTCACAGTTTTTAAACCTAGTTGACTTGGTTCATTCCTTCCACATAAAATATCATCAAATAGTCACATCTTATCTCTAATTCTATATTTTTCAATCAGTCAGTCATAAACAAGACTTTATACGCATGCACATTGGTACAAATTAATACAAAAAGTCAACAAACGCAGATGAAATCGCCGACATTAATACCAAAGTAATGGGAGCGGTTTGAATTATTTTTTCTGTTTAGCGTTTTTTTAGCTAGTTAGTTTTTCTTAGGGATGGGGTCGCTAACCCCATGCTCAACCCTCCTCCTTTACCTAGGCTTTGGACCGGCAGTAACTCTAGAAGAGCTACAGACCAAAAAACAGATTACGTCGGGAAAAAGAAGCAGATATGAAAAGGATGAATAACAACTGGAAAGAACTGGAAAGGATTGACTAGGACAGAGTTGGATGGAGAATGTTGGTGGGTGGCCTATGCTCCTCGACGAGGGTTAACAGGCGTAAGTAAGTAAGTAAGTGAGAGTGGTAAAAGTACCAGTGGTGTTAAAAAGACATTGAAAGCAATGAAAATACATACCACTGAAAGCAGTTATTTAACACAACCCTTACTTAGCACGCACATAAATTTTAATTACTATCTGTCCTGAGATCCATAATGGGACGAAGTAGTGTAATAAAAACAATGACATTATTTGGCCTGGTAATAGTGGGTGTTAAGACTAGATTGGATAAACTGGTGTCAAAGACAAGACTAGTAGTCAAAAAATGGGTTATTCTGTCTAATAAAATAAGTATCTTATATACAAAATATTAACCAAACGATAACTAACATTCTCTAGGTGATTGGATGATATTGAATTTGTATATCACCCATTATTTAATTAATTAAGACCTAGATGTTATGGTTAACCATTTTCCATCATATCACCAGGGCATACATTTTATATTATCAAATTACAACAACTAGACAAGCACCCAATATGAAGCAATATGAAGCGGCCATTTCGCCTCAGTTTAAGATACTTCAATAATCCATACCCATGCTGAAATCATTAATTGAAACCAGAGTTTTGAACTCGCAATACAAGTGGGTTACATTCTTGACAAACTAAGTTAATATACAGTAATTTTAATCAATCCTCAACGACTATTACATTGAATGTAATAATTAATATATATGTACAGAACTTAATCCATCTTCGGTAATTCGGAATCTGTTGAATATAAAGTATGCTTAGGCATCCATCTACAATCTTTCATAATCAAATATCTTTTCTCAATAATCATGCGGAAATCATACCGAAATTGTAATAAAAATTATTATCTGATTATGATTTATTTCAGGTCAGTTTTGTCATATATGTTTAAGCACTGGATGGCCGTGTGGGACTCCTCAACAGTGCGCATCCACGATCCCGCCTCGTGAGATTTGAAACCAGGACCTATCGGTCTCGAGCGCGAACGTTTAGCCCCTAGACCAATGAGTCGGCATCCAATAGTGTTAATGTCTTACTTCAACCAATCCACGAAACTGCTTGACCGTACACCATTATCTTCAGTGAGTCACTGCTTCATAACAGACCCGGTTGAACTCCACTAGTGGATGTGAGCTACTGAGGAGTCCCATACTTGGATGAAATGGCCGTTTAGTGCTTTTAGGTTTTCCATCGTGACCTAGCTCTGATCAACATGAATATATTATAACTCAAAATTATAAACGAATAGAATGAACTAATTAAGTTGTATACATATTGTTAATTCTGTATTAAGACTTCATAATGTACATTGTATTCTAACAATTTTGTAATGTCAATATTGAAATCATTGTCTGAATAAGATGCAACCGATAGTCTATAAATAGTAAAAAAAATTACTTTTTTTGTTTATTTAAATTCACTTGGTATTGTTTGTTTGAATCTTCCCATCGATGTGTTAGGATTGAAACTGCTCAGTCTCTAATTGTAATATGTGCATACTGTGCGTATTGACTCAATATAGCCTATGTTCACAAGCATTGTAAGCAAAGATGGATAGTGACTAGCAGCGGAATCTAGGACGCGGGTTTCGTCCTATTTGGAACTCGTCAGCTGGATGTACCTGCATTTCGTTTATTTTTGTTTTAATTTTTACAAATAATAGTCTGTTAGAAAGTTTTAATGAAGAATAAGAAAGTTTACATTATAGGTTATATTGAATATTATCAGAATGGGTGTTGAATTCATGAGTCAGTTTCAGCTAGATCACTTTTAAGAACCTGAAAGCACTGGACAGACATTTTGTTCTAATATGGGGCAGTTACTCACTGAAGATAATGGTGGACGGTACAATCAAAATCATAATAGGTCTGAACATTTCAAGGTCCTGTTAGCTTTGTCAAGTTTATTCTAAATGACATCTCACTGTAGTTATTTGTATGTATGAAGATGAGTTTGAAAAAAGTATAATTTGTAAAATGAAGTAGTGGGTTTTTTAAACATACGGTAATATATGACAACAAATAAGTTAATCAGTTTTTATCAATTGTGATGGTTGAAACATGCTTTATGCATGTGTAGCTACAATCTACTTTGACTCATAATGAAAATCGACATAGGACATGTTAGGTCGAAGCCAGTGGTTTCAAAACTAGGACTTTACACCAACCTATGAAATTAATAACAGTTTGTATGTACTGTATTAGCAAATACAGATTATATAAACAAGATCATGAGCCAATTGAAGCTAGACCGCCATGGAAAACCTCGAAGCACTGGATGGCCAAATCGTCCTATTGTGGGACCCCTCAACAGTGAGCATCCACGATCTCGCCTCGCGAGATTCCAACACAGGACCTACCAGTCTCGCGCGAGGGCGCTTAACCCCTAGACCACTCAGCTGGCCAGCATCCAACAGTGTTAATGTTTAACTTCAACTGAGCGACACATCCACTAATGTCTTCAGTGAGTTGATATCTCACAACAGACCTTGTTGAACTCCACTGGTTACATGCAGTTAGTTCCCTTTATGAATTTAAATAAAGACAGAACAAATATTGATGCAGAATAATATGAATTCATTATATTTCGTGGTTTCTCATCAGCTGCTTACAACTAAATATGCATTAGAGTTTTAGCATTGGGGTAATAAATAGAATGGAACGACTGACATAAGTGAATGTAAAGGATTAGAATAACAAAAGTTATCGATGATAACTATATATATATATATATATATGTGGGCAAGGAAAGGTCAGAGGTTATTAGGTATTAGAATAAAGGCTGGCGTAATAGTTGAGTGGAGTTCAGAGACAGATAAAATCAAAAATGTGATTATTTTAGAGGTAGTTGAAAACAATTAGGGTTACGTAATAATTTAATAATTTTTAGAGGTAGTTGAAAACAATTAGGGTAGGTTACGTAATAATTGAATAAGTTTGGATAGTTCATATAATTAGGAGAGACAAATGGTTACTGCTTCTCACTAGAACTCCAAAAAATACCTCATGGAACCAGTCACTAGTGAGCATATGATCATTATCAAAAGGGGAGCGTTCAGCGCAACAGAAACATTCATTATTTATTATTCAGTAAATCATGAATACAGAATGGGTTCTTTCCATCCTTTCTATTCTAACAATAATCTTATAATTTAGTCTTCTTAACGTTGATATCATTATTGTTTCTATTCGTTTGTTTTGTTCACGTTCATTTCCTTTTTTCTATAGTTTGATGTAATTTAACACCTTAGCTAAATAAACATCTGTTCTACATCCTTAGTTGTATGTAACTACATGATTGACTGAAAGTAGATTACGTTTTTTTAACTTACGTCTACTAGAAAAAGAATAATCCACACTTTATATGTTAGAAGATGAATCGTAATTCCCACACCATAAAAAGTATCAGTAAAGTTTTTTTTCCAAAAAATGTTACATTCAATTATAAATCCATGTGGATCAGCTAGAAGGATTTGTATGAATTACATTTTAGGTGAAGAGAAAATTATGATGATGATGTTTCTTGAATGAGATCATGAATCGATTGACGCTAGAATACCTCTGAAGATCTCGAATCACTGATCGGATGTTTCGTCCAAGTACTAGACTCTTCAGCATTAATCATCAACGATCCCACTCACGGGATTCGAAAGTAGCACAATTGTCTCGTGCGCGAACGCTTAACCTCTCTAAATTGAATTGTTTAATAGTATACAACTTATTAACCATTCTATTTAGCTATTTTTAAAATTATTGGGCTCTCATTTAATGATCTTTTCTGTAATTTGTTACTCACCATACAATCATAACTATTTGTAAAAAAACAAAGTCGTTTATAACATAAGACTGTACTTTAGTTGTGTCTACATGTAAAGCTACCGTAAATTTATTATGGTGTAGAAAATATCTCAATGATGTAACACTACATAACATGCAATGAATTCAATTGTCAAATTTCAAACATTTTACTAAAATCAGAAAGGGTTTTGTGGAGATTTCAGTATTTTACATAGTTGAAATCATGAAACTGGCGCAAGACTTGTAGGTCTTGGGTTCAAATCCTGCGAGTGCGGGATCGTGGATGTTCACTGCTGAGGAGTCCCATAATAAGACGAAACGGTAGTCCAGTGCTTTCAGGTTCTCCATGTTGGTCTAGCTTCATTGGACTCAAGATTTCAACTTACTAGACTTAATTAAAATAAAATTTGTTCTGACAAATCTGTTTTCCTCATTTAAATAGGCAAAGCAATAATTATAGAAGGGGTTTTGTGGAGATTTAATATTTATCATTGTTGAAAGCGTGACCAGTGACCAG